ATGTGAATTTTAAGAGACACTTAAGCAGAAATTGCTCTATAGTGGGAATATATGATCTACACGGCCACAAGGTCTGACATTTAGCATAATTAGTTGGAGTAGCTCAGTTGGTTAGATTGGTGGCTCTTAAAGCACAAGGCCGAAGGTTCGAGCCCTTCCTCCACTATCTTCATGTTATTAGTATAGTATTGACATTTAACATAATGTGCATTAATAAAGTGTCACATTCACTATGCGCTAAGACAGTCTGATAGCCATATACTTTGTAGGCAATTTATGGCATTTCAACTCATAGAGACAAATTTTCTAAATGCGGCTCATGCTTAAGAACAGTTATTGGTGTCTATATAACGTATTATGCTAACATTAGCCTGAGTGTTTGACTTGATTAATTTCATTTTTAAGTTTTGCTGTGCTACTTTGTGTTTTTTTTTAAAATTTACAACATCGAATACATATCGTTAGAAATGATATGTCATTAAAATTATCTCTCTATGTTTTTCTTCTGTGGTTTGCAGGGCTTGAAATGTCATATCTAATGGAACCTAAGGGTATTCAAAAAACAAGGAAAAGGGTTTCCATTGTTCCATAAAACTGTGAGCTGAACTTGCCAAATAATGGCGACAAACTTAATCCATGGACAGCATGGGCATACCACCCTCACATTGTTTCTTTCTACTTATTGGTGCATGCATGTGAGTCTCTTTTCTCAGGGGAAATATTTGTCATTTTAGTATATTGAACCATGTTGAAAATGTTTAATGGGAAATATCATCTTTGTTTGAAATTTTAGCTAAATTCCTTTTATGGTGAGCTGTCAAGCTTATGTGTTTTGGTAGTAAAGAAGTAAAGAACGCAATAGAGGATAAAAACCAAATTCCAAAATCCATGCATCTGAGACGAAGTAAGCTATAGACATTCGCTTGAACGGGACTAAAAGGTAAGGTAACTAATGTAAATGTTATATCTTGTGAATTGTGACAAACAAGGTTAAAACGGATATTTCACATGTGATGTAAAATTATGAGTCCTTGTATTAGGTCCAAGTCTTGTTGTTTAAGTGTCCGTGAAGCTTCGGAGCTGAAGACATCAAGAATGAACGCGATCGGCGACAACTGGGACAAACCGAGTCAGGGTAGAACAAGTTTACACTTGAGTCGACTGATGATGAAAGGGTTGATTGGACTTGATGGTCAGTCGACTAACCAAGAGCAACCCATCCTACCCTACAACATCAGTCGGTTGATGTACAATGGGCAAATGTGGTTTTTGTAGTCAGTCGACTGATTGACGGGAATTCCAGCAAAAAGGCTCTGATTCAGTTCTGATTTCTCCGGTTTTCTCAATAAAAACCCTAAGTTGGTCAATTGACTTTGACCAACAGATCTATTGGGATCAAAATCTCACTGTTAATTTTTTTTGCTGTTTTGATCTGGCAGATCCAATATAAAGTTGGCATCTGATTTTTAATTTGGAGTGTTATTTTTTCTCGAGATGTGTAAAATTTTTGTTGGACATGAGTTTACCTTTTTTTATATCATAAGTTGTATAAACAAGTTTTAGATCTGATGGTTGATGGTAAAAGTTGAACACCAGATCTTATCAAGTCCCTTGATTATCCTCGATTATATCATCTTTACTTTTATACTTTTTCATCATTATTTTTATATTCTTCTTCGTATCGTTTTCTCTCGGCCAACATTCCTTCAATGTCTACTTCGTTTCTTTCGATTCTTCAATCAAGAACATACCTTCACCTTCTACATCGTCTCTCTCGGTCTTCAATCATGGTTTCTCTCATCTTCATCGTCAAGGTATTACTCTCTCTCACAGTTGTAATCCGGTTCTGCAGATTAATCTTATCTGCAAACTTAAGGTTTCGTATAGACCTTGACAAGGGATTCAAAGACAAACCGATGCATATTCCAACACCAAGGAAATATTATCTAATATAGTCACTATTTGCATATTTGTTATGATCCTACACCAATATTGATGAAGAACCTTAAAATTAATCTTTTGATTGGAGATTAAACCACCTTCTTGATCTTTTGATTAGAGATCAAACTACCAAACCTTAATATTATATTACTTTGCTTAATAATTCCATTACAATGATAGTCCTTATATTGAACAAACCAAGACTCCTATTTAACCTAGACTCCTAACAATAACATATCCTAAGCCTAATAGAATTATAATATTGGTATCAGAACATTCCCACGCCCTTGAAATTCGGCTTGTCCTCAAGTCGAAAGTAGAACTCAAGTGACTTCTGAACGAAAGTTGTAGGTTCGCCCTCCAAAAACAATAGCTGAGGTTCCTTGCAGTTGTGACCCGGTTTGAAAAGTTCATCACAATTGAAACATAATCCTTTACTTCGACGATCTTGTTGTTCTGCCCATGACAAATGGCAAGCCTTAGGTATAGTTGATGTTTGTTTCTTAGGGCTATCATAAGATTTAACAATTAAGGGACTAATAAAATTTTCTTTTAAAAATTCTTGAATAACACTAAATTCCTCATCCTTAACAAGAACCATATCAAAAGCTTGTGTTAACATAGCAGGGCGAAGAGTACGTAAAACAGCTTTAATATCATCACGCAACCCAGATATAAACATACTAATCGTATGTGCTTCATGAAGACCAGGAACCAAATTAGCAAGTCGTTCAAAAGCTCTTTGAAATTCACGAACTGAACCTGTTTGTTGAAGTTTTGAAAGAGAACAACAAGGATCAAGATGTTCACGCGATCCAAAACGAATACAAAGAGCACGAAATTTTTTTTGCCAACTTAACACTCCAACTGAATGGCGAATCCAACGATACCAAGCAATAGCATCACCTGTTAAATAAATAGAAGCAAGAGAAATCATTTGTTCATCTGAAATACCATGCAATACCTGATATTGTTCTGCACGAAAAAGCCAATCTTCTGGATCAACACCTTCAAATTTTGGAAAATCAATGCGAAGTGTCCTCCCTTGAAACTGTACTCCAGGTTGTGCCACTTGCCTTTGGTGAACAAAATTAGGTTGTTGAACAACTGGAGGCAATAAAGCTGGACCAGGAATTTGTTGTGGAGGTGGTGGATCACATTGAGCCACATTGGTATTTGCAGCAACATCGTTTTGGTTTGGACGATTCGATATAATAAGATTTTCCGATTTAGCAAAACCGGTCTTGAATTGGGCATCAAGTGTTTGAAGAGTAGTTTGAACTTCAGCTAGACTCGCTTCAAGAACATCGACGTGATCACTGACTTCCTTAACAGTAATCATGATGGATGATGATGACAATTTTTTTTTATTTTGAAAAAAGAAAAAAATTGGTTTGTAATATGTGAAAAACAATCCGACCAATGGATTAAAAAAATACGGTGAGTAGAGATGGAAATAAGGATGGTTTTATAGAGATGGGTATTAAAGAATTCGATGGATATTAAAAAGAAAGTGAATAAAGTGGGGTGGGGCTACTGAACTTCAATAGTAAAAAATATGCTCCTAATTCCTAATTACTGAAGGTTGACTTTGGTTAAACAAAGAAAAGATGCACACTTGCACAGTAGAGCAACAATTAATGAATTGGGCCGGAGGTGGACTACAATTAAAGAATTGGGACGAACGATAAACACTTTAATACAAAGAGCGGAAGATGATTAAAAAGAAAGATTACCTGCTGCGGAAGAAGATGAAACTGGACGGAATAACTAAAAAAAAAAAAATTTGCCGCGGATCGAAACTGCTTTGATACCAAATGTTATGATATTACACCAATATTGATGAAGAACCTTAAAATTAATCTTTTGATTGGAGATTAAACCACCTTCTTGATCTTTTGATTAGAGATCAAACTACCAAACCTTAATATTATATTACTTTGCTTAATAATTCCATTA